ATATTCGAAGATTTATTAAATAAAAAATTCCCACTCTGAAAACCTAAATTTTTAGAAGGTTTACACCTAGATGGATACAATGAAGAACTAGGTTTGGCCTTCAAATATAATGGTAATCAACATTACCAAATTATGCCTTTTTTTCATCCAGAAAGGCAGATATATATAAATGCACAAATTTAGCGTGATTGGAAAAAGAGGCATTATGCTATGAAAAAGGAGTAATCCTTATTACAATTCCTTATTGCATTGTTGACTTAGAGACTTTTATAAAAAGCGTCTTACACACATTCAGTTATCTTTCAATATCCACCTAGGAGGAAGCATTGGCTCTTCTTTAATATGCATTAATTTTTCTTTTACAAAGGGACATTGAGGTCCTGAATCATCTAAATAATATAAAACAAGCATTGAAGGATTCTTTCCAACAATAATTCTTTGGATTTTATGTAAGCTAGGGACCATATCAAATCTGTTATCCTGTGTTGTTCAAAAGGATCATTTTTTCATTCTCCCTTAGCAAATAAGAATCAGACAGTAGTACCCTTTGGTAGTTAAGATTCATCAATGCCTATAGGGCGATTATATTTTACTAATAGTTTGAAATATATCCAGTCAAGTTTTTTGGCATCATTAGGATTCATTCCAATTAACCGATTTGGGGTATTATTCATATTGTTAACAATTCTTCTTGCAAATCATTTACATTCCCTATAACATTCACCAGTAGGTAGGAGAAACTCTATTGAATACTGATTTTTAAAAACTCTCAACTCGAATGATCCAGCATAACGATCAACCATAGCTATGCTTGTATGACTGAAACGTGCTATAATCCTTCAGATTTCAACGTCATGCTCATCTATTAATAAAGTCATGTATCCCATAAACTCAGTGCCCTTATCGCATTGTACTTTTGAGGCTAGTTAAGGGGATTGTTAGAGTTATCATATATACTCTTAAAAGCTTCTGCAACTTCTTCACTACTTTTGATGTTAAAAAATGAAATCTTTATACCTAGTCGTGCAGTCTATAACCAATAGCACATAGTAATATATTGGCCTATTATCCAGCAAATTTATATCCACATCTTCATCATATGGTATTTCAATTAAATCGCACTGGTGTACAGAATTCAGTTTCGTAATTTTAGAGTAGCTGGCGTAAGGTACATGCTTTAGTAAAGGATGAAAAATTTGATACATTGCCTATCTATCAAGCCATTTTTTTACATTAGTAAATGGAAAGCTGTAGTTGGTTTTTTTACAAGCATCCCATAATCCCTTAATATTTTGGTAAAGGCTTTCAGGTTGATAATACAACTACTGTAAGGTAAGATTTCAGTCAAGATCATGCGTTTTTTGAGGATCAATATAAATCAAGAGTTCTCCCATTCTGAATCTCTTTATAATAACAAAAAAAAAGAATGTCATTTCACAGACCTCATCTAAGGCAGAGAAAAACATGTAAAGAGTATAAAGCTAAGTTGGAGAAAGATAACTATCATCTTCAAGATGCATTATAGACAGAGGTAAAAAATAATTGCCTGAATGAGAAACAGTTCAATCAACTGGAACGTGAATATAGCCAATATGAGCAGGAAATCCAAGATCTCAATAAAGACATAGAGCATCTTGAGAATGCTTCAGAAGAAGAGATAGCAGAGCTAAGATCTGAAATCTCCAGTCTAAAAAGTCAGCTATATTAAGCTAAGAAAGATGTGCGAGATAAGGAACAATATATCTTTAGTTTAGAAAAGCAGTTAGTAGAATCTGAAGAGCAGGTAGAAAAATTGCGATGCCAGATTAGAACCATCTTATCACGAAAAAATTCACCTGAACAAGGTAATTCTCCAGACTTGTATAATTCTGATGATAATATGGCAACAATTACAAAGCTAGCAAATGCTATATATGGTTATATGGATAATAAGACAACAGCTAGAGATATTCTAATAGATCAAATAAAAAGGGCAACAAGGCAAATTTGCCAGAAAGAGAATAATTTGCATCAGGATTTACTCCATGAGCAACAAAGGCATTATGATGCAAAGGCAGAGTGTAACAATGAAATTATATAAAGGTAACTTGCTGAAGGAGGAATGGTCATGGTTATTGGTGATCTCCATCAATATCAAACTAATGCTCAAAACTAGGTAAATAGAATGATAAGTAATATAGCAAGAAAGCAAACCCGTATAGGTGAACTGGTACAAGAAAAATTTGTTTTACAATTATTATATCAGCGAAATACCTACCACCTACAGTGAAGTAGAGGAGATATAGGTCTGTTAAAATATAATTGAGACAGGTTCTATGAGCGATATGAGAAATAGAAGGCTAAAGAAAAAAATTCTCGCCAGAATATTTTAATTTTGCAGAGACAAATTTTAGCATTACAGAATAACCCACAAAATCTAATAAACATAGCTTTACCTACAGGGTTTGTAATGCCTGAATTATGTAGCTTCGAACAAGATCATGAAAAGTATGTAGATGATTTTATAATATATATTAATTTAGCAAATATAAATGATGAAGTAAGAATTCGTAATATACTAGACCAATCAGTAAAGGGAGAAGTGCGAAAGTAGTATTGTAAAGAGTTTGATAATAAAAACTGGAAATTAATTACAGAATGTATTAGATAATTCTGCTATATGTGCTACTATTAGAGCCATTCGTAATGCTAATGCAAGAGCTATAACAGAAGCAGTCGCATCTTTTCCAAATGTCTTACTAGGCCTAGCAGGTGCAGACATTATTTCAGTTCGAGAACATGATGAAGATTGGACAATAGCTAAAGGATGATCAACTAATGCAGGACCAGTTGCAGTAAATGCTGGCGGTGGTGATCCTATTATTCTTGCAGGAATTCGATCTGAACAAAGGTTACATTGAATTAAAAAACACTTTCCATCTGCTGATAAGTATTTAAGAATACTTGAAATTAAAAGATTAAAACAAGAAATACATAAAAGTGTAACATCTTTTTAGGCAAAAATTCAAAAGTATGAAGATCAATTAGGTTGTACTCCTGACCAAAAGAAAACAAGTTTTATGTCTGGAGTAAAATGTGATATATTGAATGATATCTTTACGATTGGTCATCATAAGCCTATTAATGATATTTTTGATAGTTTGGATGAAATGGAATTGCGTAGTGGGATATTAGAATCACTACCACCATATCTTAATTATACACCAGCCCCTCCTGCTATTTCCAATAACGTACCTTAACAGCAAGGAATTTCCTTAGCAGATATACAAAAAGCAATTCAAAACGTACTGACACAGCAAAAAACTGAATACCAGTCTTTATTAGAAAAGCAAAAATCTGATTTTTAATCGCAAATGGCTCAGAAAGTAGCTATCCACAAACTGTTGAACTGATTAGATAGCCGAAAGGTCCACCATCTACATTAAAAACAGAGGAAGGTCTTAAGAATTATTATGTAGCTAAATACTTAAAAGAAGTAGGTCTACTTAATAATGAAGATTTAGACTCTGATTATCTTGTAAAGCCTTTTCAAAGACTTCATCCACAGCGAAACAATAATTCTGCTAGATTTGATAGGATTGAAGAAGAACTTGAGGAAACTCAAAATAATATAAATCAGTTAACTGATCTATTTCAGAAAAAAGTATACATACAAAAATGTGAAATTTGTGAGAAAACCGGTTATAGTAAAAGAAGTTGTCCAAATAGATAGATAGCTCAATCTAATTTCACTCAGTCTTATTTTATGCCTCTTACACCAATAGTTCCTTTTAATTCAGATGGTGAGGAAATGATGGGATAGTTATGACAAAGCAGATAATAATTGCTATTATGCATCATGCACTGAAAAAAAACAGACACCAGTAAATAAAGCTTACATAGTGACTCTGCTATCCCTTCTTCTGATCTAGTAACTAGCCAACCTGAAACATACGATCAGCTATTGTCTAAGCTCTCATCACTGATATGAAAAATGTGTTTGTCTTGAAAGGCTCAGGAGGAGAAATCAAAAGAATCAGATGAGTGGTTGTCATCTTTATAATATCTAAATGCTAATATAAATGACTTAACTATTTCTGAATCTTTTTTAAATCCTGGCAGTGAATTTGGTGGTATAAATGACCCAGCAATCAAGGCGCTTGGATGGAAGGCTGATAAACCATCTAATTTTACCATAAAAGGCAATTCCAAGCATACCACTGATTCACTAGAATGGTATACAGACGTGCCAGTTACCTTGAAAGATAAAGAAGATAAAATGGTCATAATTATTAGAAATTTTGTTCATATTGATAATGGTGAAACAGAACCAATGCTATTTTTGGTATGTCAAATATTCGAAAGGTTCAAGACGTTTCTGAGCTAAATAAAAACCAGTTCTGCATAAAGTTACATGGAAAGGCATATATTATCCCAACCTTTAGCAAGGCTCTGGTAGTCAAGGATCCACCAAAAGAGGATCAGAAATCATCATGCGAATCATCTTTTAGCTCTCAGGTTTTAGCTAATTCTTCTAATCTGACTAGTGAGAAAGACTTAAAAAAAGTGCGAAAAGCTTTAAAAGCGCCTCATAAGGACTGAAGAAATGCTCTATTTAGCCTTAAGTACTGGTAAATTTCTTGCTGATATATGTGAATCCTTATATAAGGGGAGTGGTATGAGCCATTAAAACCCTTAAGCTTTTCACCATGATTAACTAGATTTTTAAGAAGAGATTCCGCCCTATCTTCTTGGGATGTATTAGACGAATTATCAGAGATCACACCATTTTTGTTATTTTTTCCACCATACTGATTGCTTTAGTAATCGGCTTCTCATCTATTTTAACCTTCTTTTTTCAACCATTCTTTTTTGGAATTTCTGTAGCTGGAAAGGATATAGATGATACTTCTGATACCACTTTAAGAGTCTGTTCTGTCTTATCCAAAGCAAGCTGATCAGAGGAAGATAAAATAAGCCCTTGTTGGAGATGTTCACTATTATTCCATATTTCATAAACACACCGAGCACCAATATGGAATTTTTCAGCCATTTTTTTTGATGCATTAGATATCTTACCTCTTGATTCTCTAATCTCTTTAATATCAGATTCTGACAACTGAGTTGCATTGGATTGGTAAAATTTTTCATGAAGATAGATGACCATTTTTTAGTCAGAATATATACGCAAAAAAAGACTACCAATAATTTTTTCAATACTTTTCAATGTGTATTAATATTTCTGGTGATTCAATACACATCAGTGCCTTTCAATATGAGTCAGTGCTTTTCAATACATATCAGTGTTCTTCAATACATATTAGTATTCTCTTTCAGTACATATCAATAAGTATGAATAAATACCAGTGCCTTTCAGTACGTATTAGTGCTCTTTTTTTCAATAAATATCAATTAGCATTAGATTTGCCAAAAAAAATAATCTGCTTTCTTACAAGTTTAAAGCCTCTGGCTGAATTTTTTATTGTCTAAAGTAAAAAAAAATACCAATGAAATGCCCCAGATCCATACCTTAAAAGATCTGGATAATGGTAATAAACTTGGAAATTCTTCAGCTAATTATTATCCCCTAGCCGAATAGAACTTGAAGAGCAACTTTCTTGCGCAAAAAAAGACCGTGAAGTTACTATATATTGGAGGAGTCAGTTTGTAGATAGATATGATATCTTAGATAGAGAAAATGAGTGCATACAGGATGACCTTAATCAATCAAAAAAAGAAAGTAAGTGCATACAGGATGATCTTAATAAATCTAAAAAGAAAAAGAGAAACTTTCCAATCGGATACATCAGCTCAGGGAAGAGATAATACAGTTACAGTCAAAGATAAATAATCCTAAGCTTAGAGATAAGATAAGGCAGTTACACTCAGAGATAAATAATCTCAAGCTTCAAATCACTCATAAGGATATTTCTCTTGCAGATGTTGAGAACAAATTCACTATAAAATCAGAAGAGATGCAAGCCCTCCAATCCAAGATAACAGAAGAGATGCAGGCTCTCTAATCTAAGGTGGAGGAATTAAAGCAGGATATTTCTTTAACACAAGAGAACTTATCAGAAATGGACTCTTTCAAGCTTAAATTCGAACTAGAAAAAGTTGAACTATCTAATAAAAACATTGGTTTATTTTTAGCGAAAGAAGAATTAAAAGTTTCACTGGCTGAAAAAAAGGATGAATTACTACAGATGAAGGATGATTTAGTTTTAGTGCAAAAGACATTAATAGAGAAAGAGTTTCTTCTTCAAGAAGCGAAGTCAAGCTGGCTTGAGAAATCATTAGCTGATGCTCATTTAGTAGAGCAGATTCCAAAAATATCTAGCGATTCTAAGTATAATGAGATGAGTGGAGGTGTTAGTAGACTGGAGAAAGATAATGACATCACTAGTCCTGAAACAACCTCAGTATCACCTAATTTCTTCCTTTTTCAGCATGCAATCATCTTCATCATAGTATTACTAATCATATACATCTTATAGTACATATTCTCTCGTCTATATTCAAATGAAGAAAAAAATATTTTGAACTATAAAATACCCTTAAATAGAAATCAAAATTATGCATTCCCAATCCACAATGCAGAAAAACCAAAAAACAGGACTACTCCCTATGAAACTTTACCTTATAGATATGGATGAAGCCACTAAGCATACGTCATCTCGGGCAAAAGGTCATGAAGCGAGTCCTGACTGCTCTTTTAGTATGGTGGTCACAGGAATAAATGGAACTGGTAAGACTAATATTTTAGCGAATCTTTTTTTTGGTGATATACCTGAATGTATATATAAAGGTAAAAAGGGTGGGTCTAGATATATTTCATGTGATGATTTGATAGTTTGCGGTTACTATCCTGATGAACCAAAATGGGCATTCATAAGATATATGTATAGTAAAATTTCAAAAGACCCAAAGCGTCTTACTATGAAAATATTACTTTCAAATACATCTCACCTAAAAAAATTCCCAATACAAGAGCATTTTCGCCTGAGAGAAACACAGCAATTATTTTTGAGGATTTATGTCTTACTCCAGAGCATATACAGAAACAAATCAGCCAATTTTTGGAAATGGTTGACATCGGAATATTTCATGCATATATATAGCACAGAAATATTATAAAATAGATATATTTATGCATAAAAATGCCAATTACTTAGTACTTTTTAATTCTGGTAGCTCGTATGAAGATATCTCCAAAATTATTAGACGCTATACTGATGATGTAAAAAATGCATCAATGGTCATTAATAGCTATCTTTGTAAAAAGGGTGAGTTTGTTGTATTTGATCTCATTAGACCAGAGGATGATCCTTTTGCAATCTGTCTAAGGTTTGACACTTTACTAAACCTGCAGAAAGAGATAGAGGTGAGGCAGAAGCGCAATGAAAAAAGTAGTCAAGCTAATTCATGCAAAGTGCTTCTCAGCTAATTTTCCTCCAAAAATAATGATATTGTTTTTATTATAATTATATTCACATTATACAAGAATTGGGTGATTTCTAACAATATAAAATAATTAGAGCGAAAAATACTAATAGCTAGATATTATTTATTCCTATCATTACAAGTGTAATGGTAGTACTTATGAGGTAAAACCTCTATTTTCTTCATATGACGGTGGTGGGATTTGATGTCTTGCAATATTTTCTTCACAGAGCTGATCATAGTCAGTCACTAAAGTGAAATAAAGTATTAGAGGATTAGTATATCTTCTCATAAATATTTCCTTCCTCTGATCAACTAATCTTTACCTGGTATTTTCCAAAACTGTTCTTTGAATTTCTCATAATATTTGAGGCTGTTCTTAGTCTTTTTTTCTATTAGCTTTACCATTGATATACACTTCCATATGCTAAATAGAAAAGATAAATTAGTTTGACATCAGACGCTGTGCATGGCTGAGGTTTCAGAAGGATTTCTACATACTTTACAATCACGTTTGAGACTCTCAAACTTTTTTCTACAATGCGTATTAGTACAAGACGTTCCAAACTGAAGATTGATCTTTGTGGAGACTTTCTTCCAGAAAATTCTCTTTCCATTCCCAGCTAGTTCATGAAATATTACATTATTTTCTTTGTGATTGTCGATCAATACTCAAAGTTGCTCATCAGTCCATATTGTAAAAAGCCTTTTTATTTTTTTTTGGGATTCGGGTCTCTAGAAAACATGGTATTATATACCTTTCTTAACTATATTATTGCAATTACGTGAAGAGGGGAGTGGCAGAAATGCAAAAGATAATTCATTACATATCGAATGACTATATATTGGATGTGGCTTAGAATTATGCAGATAACTAACTACTGTGAAATGATTCAGCTAAAGTCACGTGAAAGCAATTGTTAAGATAGTCTAAAAATTTCATCATAACTATTTTTTAAGAAATATCGTGCTAATACCATTGTCGAATAATATATTTTACTATTAGATCTAAAAAATACCATATCAATACCATGTTATTACCGCGAAATTGCATAATACTATACTTTTTCCAACTCTGAAGAAAAAAAATCAGAAAATCTGCTAGACACTCTGATCAAGAATTTCACGTAATATTCTGACCATTGGTCGCTCTCCCTGGCCTCGTACGGATAAATATATATGTTAGAAGTGCTAAGAAAAATATACACTCCTTTGGTAAATACATTCAGGAGATAACCTATCTTAATTGTTTTTTTTTAACTATAGTGAGAAAAAAGGCCAGTCTGGTATATAATAAAATTTCTTCTGCAGTTAAGGCTAAGATCATCGCAAAAACATGGAACAAATATGGTCAAGAAAAATTTTTTATTAATAATTACATGCATGAAATCGAACTCTATTATATAAATTTTTGGAAGTCGAAACCATTACTACCATTTTACTAGAACTATGCTTACTATTTCCAAAATCAAAATCATATAATATCTTATGGATTGAACATGCTACAGACATCCTCAATGTCAACAAAATATGGATAAGTAGATATACAGCGCTCGGTGAAGTTATATGCAATGGAATTGTTGCCTCCTCTATTAAACAGTACTTGTAAATTCCTGATTCTTTTCGTATAGCATAAAGCTCTATAATATTACCTAGAAATAAATAGGGCAGAATATAAACGATTTATAAATATATAAAAAAATAGAAAGTAATTTATGTTTACCTGCGATATTAATAGTAAATATGGTCAGATTCTGCCTCTTGGATGGTTGATTAAACATCTTTTTAAGGTTTTTTATGCTCCTCGTAGTGTCAATAAAATCCTTAGAAAAACGTATTAATTTTTTGTGATTATGAACCTGCTTATCTTAACTGGAATTAAGTCTACTGGTCTCAAGATAAACAATTTCAAGTTCAGCATTTTTTCCTAACTACTTCAGTAACTTTTGGAATTAATTCTTCCACCGACTTTCATTTTTTAGTTTTTCTTTTTCTTGCTAGTTACCATCATATAATCAGCTCTTCGGGCAATTTTACGAGAACCTTTTTGTGTAGTACTAGCTGAACTTCCTTCTTTACCCCTTAATTTAGAAGACATATTAATTGAAACAAAATATATGATAGTGATGTATCTTTCAAGTTAAACCTACCATATGTCTTACGCTATTGGTTTTCCTGGTAAATCACTCATCACTATATTTATCAATGGTATGAAAACTTCACAAATATATGATCCTTTATTTATCGATTTTTCCTTCTTTATATATGCTTCGTATTTTGGCGATTTCCAAACTTTGAGCCTATAAATATTTATCAGTTAATAAGCCCTGTTTTCGAATTCATAAAAAAAAAGAAAATGCATAGCATCAAAAGGGAAATTTGTACTTACATTGATTCTAACATCTGTTTTGCTAAATCTTGTAATTCCTCAGATTTATCCAACCATTCTCTATAATTAGTATTACCCAAAACCTCATCTATATTAATTTTTGATTCCTCATTCCAGATAAATTCTTTATAGGCTTCCATTATATCATGATTCTGTTCTAACTTATATTTTTGAATGGTTCCTTAAAAATATCACAAACTGACCCTGGTATATCTGTAAAGAGTTCTAACTTGATATCCAGAACGTCTGAACAAATCAGATGATCAAATCTAAGGTTCTTCACATTTATTTCCTTAAGTTCAATTTCTATTCTCTCTTACATAGTTTTCTCATAACTAGTGCTCTCACTTATATACCAACCAATATCACACTTCAGAGATTGTAGATTTGTATTTACATCTTTACACTAGGCTTCAGTATCAATTACTAATGCTTCCATTTCTGAGAGTGAGCATAGATTCTCAAATGCTATCACGACCTAAGAACATATTTAAAATTAGTATCTCAAGACTAGTTTAACAAATAATTTAATTTTACATCATGAGATCATATTAGGTTTCTATTTTCATAATGTTTCAAGTGCCAGCAAAATGTCTGATATGTATTATATGGTATATAACTAGTTACTACTGTGTGGGAAGTAATAATATTACAACGGACATCAACCTCTTCACTAGTGGTTATAACATACTAGGAAACCTAAAAATACAAGTCATCATATTCATATATTTATCATAAAATAATTCATCACCATACCCATTTCGCCAGTTTTTTTTCAGTACCAAAACTTCGAAGCTTCTTTACTCGCTCAATATCCTCTGAGGGAACTTATTCTAAAACTCTTTGCAAAACTTGTTCAAAGTTCTCTACTTCCTTTTTGAGAACATCTATCTATTCACCTTTCTCTACTCGTACAAATAATGCTGTAGAAATTCTGGCAATATCAAGGGGTTCTCTTATTAAAAGGAATTCTTCTATATTTTGATAAAATAAAAGTTGTATGTTAGTATAAAGCTTGCTAAGCAACGTAAAAAAAATAATGTAAAGACGGTAATAATTTCATTATACTGCCTTTTTTAATATTTGTAATTTCATTATTCACATCTCTGTCAAAGCAAAAGAATATGCAATGCTTTTTACGCCAAAAAAATGTTGTGTTAGAGAATAAGGGTATGTAGGATGTGCATTGAAAATCTTGACATTTAGAAAGACATTAGGGGTAATACATATATGGGAAGTTTGCTAGGAAAATGAGGTTCTGAAACATTTTTTAAAAAATTGAAATTTTTGATACATATTAATCTATAACTTATAAACTTTATTTGGTTAAAATTTTATATTATATTAGCTTATTTTCAAAAAAAAAATTTATAATATCAAAAGTTATTACTTAGTAAATCTAGAAATAGATTTTTGGAAATAATAAACATGTTTAATGTACCATTTAGGAAATGATTAACAAATTACATCTTAAAAAGTATTTAGCTAATAATTTATATCATATAATATATATCACATGACCTAAAAATAGATCGCCTCAAATTTAAAGCTAGTTTTTTGTTTATTTTGATTTTTTAATTTATTCAAAAAAAATTTTTAGTCTCAGAGCCCCATTTTCCTAGCAAACCTCCCATATGGTTTTTTATATATCTAGATATGCTATTATTTGGATAGATATTTCCTGCAGGTCTATAATCGAAAAAGGGTAAGGATTGATTTATGTGTGAAATTATTTTATCATACAAGCAGATAATTGCACAAATGATTGACAATGTATCACTATTATATCATATATGCATTTCACAAGCTTTAATGAAGATTATAAACATGTTTATTTATGCTTTAGTACCTTAATGACTGTCGTACAATGCCTATATGCATTAGCATAAGATGCAAGTAAATATGGAGCTAATATAATGCATTTTCCTATATAGAACTATTTTTTTATTTATGTATCACTTTGATCGTATTTAAAAAAATATGAATAGTTATACATATTAATTATCTATGCATTTTTTCATACAGAATTGAGATATCATGTTCGTGGTCTAGGACCTTTCGGAGGAAGGGTCTGGTATAAAATTGTGTTTTATAATCTGAGAAATACTTCAGTTCAGACGCACTTGCATTATGCTGAATTAATGCAAAAGGTTTTGGTGGCAAAAGAGGAGAAACCTTATTTACCTTAGATATGATATTTTCAGCGGATAATAGTTGCCATAAAAGTCTGTTGGCTAATTCTTGTTGTGATTGTCTTTTAGCCAATTCTTGTTGCAATTGTCTTTTGGTTAATTCTTGTTGAGATTGTCTTTTAGCTAATTCTTGCTGAGATCGTTTCTCAGCTATCTCTTGCTGTAACTGTTTTTTGATTAATTCTTGACGTACTAGTCTATCAGACAATTGGTGTCTCTTATGCTCAGAATAACTTATATAATTATGAAGTTGATCTTGCAGAACATGATAAGATCTATATCCTCCATCAATAGAATAGCATATATTTATGTTCACAGTATAAAGATAATCTCTACCAGGCATTTTAAGAAACTTCTTCCTTTAGGAGTGTTATCATTTCTAATTGTTTCCTAAACTTGTTTTGCTAATGAAACTGGCATCTTCTTGTAATTTCAATAAGCTTTTTGGATAAGCCGAGCACTTATACCTTGGGATTTAGCTTTAGAGCATTCATTATCCCAATGATATTTCATCAAGTCCTCAAATTTAATCTCATATCCATATCTGCACTATCTATCGAAATATTTCTTTTTTGGTTTTACATCAGTAATCTTTACCAATTTCCAGTAATCAAAACTAATATCCATATTACTCTTATGGATTTTGGGCTGATGATAGATAGAATTAACCATTTGACCATTCTCAAACCCTGCAAACAAGCAGTGTTGGTGATATATACTAAATCTCTGATTGGTTAATCATTCTTGTAGTTGAATTTTAACACTTATTGCCTATCCAACTAGAGCTTCACAACTGATAATGTATCATATTCCCACTCTATTTTGATTATTTTCTCAATATTAGTACCAAAATAATAATTCATTATATATGCACTAACATATTTTATTTTCCATCCAGGGTGATTATTAACAGGTTTAGGAACAAACTTAGTAAAACTCTAATCTAGAATAATATCAATATTAGTTATGTTTGATGATTATGCATAATAAATAAGACTTATAATAATGTAGTGATTTATAGCGTTTTAGCAAATATTTAGCTTTATAGCAGTTTGTAGTAAGTATATTATAATAAAATATCAGATTCATTTTTTTTATTCGATTACAAGCATATTGAGAGTTTATATAAGGTCCACATCTGGCTATATGTATATTCACATGCATGTAAGGGATTTTCCAATAGCATAATTTGGTTAAATTAATTCCAAAATATTATAATAGCTAAATTATTCTCAGATCTATGACGTATCACAGGAATCTCTGCTAGTTTTATAACAGTTCTCTGGCACTATCATAGTCCTGAGATGTTTCTCAAATCATGGGATGATTGCCAAAAATTTGGAGTATAAGATGATCTGTGTGAATCTCTCGTGATTAACATGCTCATTTATTCAAAAAAAATAACCTATCCTGAGCAGAAATGTTATATACTATACTTATGAAAAAAGTTTGAAATGACCCACTAATACATGCTGTATCATATAATAATCGTGAAGACTCTTCTTACTTCCAACTAATAGAAGTGGGATCTATCAGCTAATTTATGATAAAAATCTTTCTGGTGAGTTTTGCAATAAAGTAACGTCTCATCACCCACATATAGCATACATTTGGTTAAAACGACTCGCAAACTAACTTTATTTATTAATTATAAGAAATAGTAAAGATAAACTAAAAAAACATTTTGATATATGGCGCAGTGGTCACGTAGCATAAACCATAGTTCACGCAATCTACAATGGTCTGCAAAAAAATTATGATTCCCGAGTAAAATGAGCTATAATACTTTTGATTTGAGTACCTGTAAGCTTTGAAATATTATCCGCACTATAGGTTTGAATCCTCTTGACTTTTTTAATCTCTATTTTACTGAACAATTCAAAAATATTTCTTGCCTTCTGTGTCTTCTTATATAAATTTTCTCTTGTAATGTTTGAAAGATGTTTTAAAATTGTATTATATACCTGGATCCTAGCCTATTGATCTTTAATCTTCTTATCATTATCTTTAACATCCTTAACACTTTTTTCAAACCGTTCAGCATAGTAATACTAACAGTGAATTTCCTCTTGATAAGCTTGAGTTACACACTTTTTTGCCTTAATTGCTTTTTGGAATAATCGAGCTAAATTCTGCAAGATCGAACCCTCAGAACTCTCATTATCATTATTGGTTTCGGTAGTCTTCCCCTTAATAGGTGTAGATAATTCATGTAATAACCCTCGAAATCTTTCCTATTCACGATTGGTTCTTGAAGATGTTTCTCTTGATGATCAGATTTGTGTATTAGCAATGTCATCTTCAGTTATTTAATTAGTCAAATTATCCATCCTTCAATCATAGATTTCAGGGAATAAATAGAATGAAAGGTGAGTGTGATTACTACATATTCTATTTTCACTGCATTATCTACCTTATTTGAAAACTATGATTGTTATTCCCATCATCATCATTATTTTCAGTATCATCGATGATATCTGATAGCTTTAGTATCTCTTCCACATATGCAATTGGACTTGTCGTGTAGTAACTTCAGTTCTCTTTCCCTCCTGACCTGCAAGAGAATCTTCGTCTTCTATAGTATCATCACTTAAGGGGTCTTTTTTTCTGAAATCCTTATTCTTACCATATGATACTCACCAGAAGCTAGTGCAAGTTCCTCCCTAATAAGTTCGATAAGTGATATACAACTAGAAATAGTGCATAAAGGAAAACATGCTTTTGATTATACAATATGGGAGCTGATCTATTAAAAGTGGGTTATGAGATATAGTAAATCATATGATCTGTACCTCAATTTTAATAGAATACTACCCATATGTTTCTCAAGACATATTCGATGGTATATATGTCCACATGATAATACTGTGAATGAATGAAGTGGTAAGGCAAGAATTTCTTTATCGTAGAAGTAGCAAGAATTAAGTTTCGGGATATGTTCATCAGTTATTTCAGAAGTGTTTCTTAGGAAATTTAATGAAAGTGCTTTAAGTTGAAAAACCTCTGTATTGTCTGCATAAATTTTTGAAGGACTTGCTGGTAGTTCGCTAGTTATTTTGTTAAATCATAAAGAAGATTTCTCGCTCTTTACTTCCTACATAAATATTTTTTCATATATCAAGACTAAAATGAAATTAACCTTATCCTGAGAAAATTTATCTTAGAAATGAACGTCTCAGAAATGAGCATCTCAGAAATGGACATTTTGGAAATGAGCATCACGGAATGAAGATCACAAATAAATCAGGATCAATGATGAAAAAATATATATAATACCAATTAGTTTGTATTGTTCGATTTCTGCCATAGTGGATAAAAAGACTATCTCACATTATCTTTATGTTATAACTCCCTTTTTAAACATATATTACAAAAAAATACTACTATACTCCCAGTTAAGGCTACGATCATCACAAAATATGAAAGTCTTAATATCCAATAATTTGTCGATCCAGATTTCCTAAATTACCCTATATTAATATGCATACTCTCAAGTAATATATAGCAGAGGTAGTAGAAGAATCACACCAATTACCTCCTATATAAGAAAAAATATATATTTATATTTGACTATATTGCTTGGGTTGCTTAGTATCTAAACCTTTTTTTATTTGTATTATATTGAGCCTGGTCCTAAAGGGACCGCTAAAAATAAATAGAAAATCTGGGACTTTGCCTGGATACATATCATCTCTATACTATTAAACGAGATTATTTTTCAAAAAAAACCCTTGAGCTCTTAGAGAGTAGTATCATGGGTTAGAAGTTCATTGTGGATCAATTTGTGAAATGTAATATATGCTTTATTTAAGAAATAAAAAAAATGTTGACAGAGCAACTAATACATAAAAATTATGACTATATCGCTTTATATGATGTGAATAAAAATTTCTAACTATTTGCTAGAGGGAGTTTTGGCGGTAGTGAGATGTACAACGACTGTTAGATTACTATCATTAATAGTATCAAAATAATTAAAAAGTGCGTCCTTCCTATCTATTAGATTTTTTAGATATACGCTATTTTTATAAAGATCAAATCGAGCAGTATCAATTTCTCCTGTGATGTAGTTTTTGAGTCTATCAACACTGCAAGTCTGAAAACTACTGATTACGAATTTATTGTTATCATTTTTAATGGTAACTTCTAAGTAATCAGTATCCATCTTGTTTTCCTAAATATAAGGTCTATAGTGAGAAAAACATTTTGCTCCCATACATTCATAACTTCTGGCATATACATATCTTATTTTCATTATTTCTCTGAAAAAGTTTTTTTGCAGAAAAGTTAGCTGAACTTCCACATACCTTACATGATTTATATCTTGCTGGAAAATAGTTAAGGAGATATAAGACGTGATTAGCATTATCGTATAATGTCAAGAGCTTCATGAAAGTACATGTAAATGGAATTCTCATACCTTTTCACATGTGATCTACTGAAAAGACTCAAACTTGGTTTTACATCTAGCAATCTCAAAATTGCGAGTCCCTCAGCCTTTCACAATATATGCTTTTGTCGTCACTATTTACTTATAGGGTAGGTCCTGTGTTGCATGTAGACCTCCTTTCACATTTTCTCATGTTTGTTCAGGAAAAAATAAAGAACAAAGGTTAATATGTTTTCTTTTTCGAATATATGCAAAAAAAATAATATATCACATAAGCCTGTTATGTGATCAGCCTATTTTTTATCACATATGAGTACATTCAGCAAAAAAAAATATTATGAACTAATGATCACTGCTTCAGACTAGTCAGAGTATCTTAAACAGAGAGGAATATTATTACTATAGACATCTTTACCTCTGATTCAGTCTCATCCTCAAAGCTCGAATATTCAGACTCTGTTTCACTGTTTCAGTATATTCCGAATCATAATATTCACTTAGATCAAGATTTCTCATAACTTTAAGATATTTGAAAAACTTGGTTATTATAACTTCTCCATCTGAATCATTTGCGATGAAATTAGGGAATAATAATTCATAGAATGTATATAATGAAGGAGGTAATATATCAATATCATTTCTTATACGATAAAGTCTTTTTTCTTCATTTTTTTCACAATATCTTGTATCCTGTTTATCAATATTGTATCCCAATCTTACTAGCCAAATAATACCTAAAACTAAATCATATTCAGGCTTGTCTACAACTACAAAATTTGCTGCACCTATATATGAAGAAGATACTATCTCATCGAACATATTTGGCAAAGCAATAGAACCTTTTTCTCTATCAACCCATCTCCTTCTCATCACTTTCTTGCTAGCATTTGTTATACTAATACCTAGGTCTCTTACTGCAGGATATCTTGATCCATATTCTCTAGAAATATATAAATCCATTTTTTTGGCAAGCGTCTTACTAATGCTATCATAGAAGGATTTGGGATCGATAAGTATTTTAATAGTTACGTTAGCTTGAATAAATGTACAATCCACTATTAATCTTTTGCGAATTTCTCGAAGTGCCTCATCTTTTCATATATTATTTATAGTACAACATTTTTTAAGATCCTGTATCGACAGATTTTTTAGAATAAATGGTATTAGTTCTGGCATAAGCTGATTAAGTAAATTAACTGTATGCATTTTATATGATTCAGAGATTTTCAATCAGAAAAAATAAGGCCAGTAATACACAATCTGTGGCTCAGCAAATCTTCTGAGCTGATGATTTCTGCTCTGAATCGGTCTAAATGGGAATGATCGAACAATCATCTGCGGAATCTTGAATCTTAACTGATATATTAATTGTTTGTTTAGCCAATCTTCAATCTCTGCAAGAGTAAACTTATATCCGATCTGATCTCAAAGAGATCTCTTCTTACAAACATCCTACATTTTTTCAGCGATTTGATAAAAACCTTTAAGCTAATAATATAACTTTTCGAATATAAGATCTCTATATAGAAGTTGTTCTCTTTTGAGTCTTTTAAATAATTTGAGACTGATCACCAGCTTCAGATTAATTTGATCAGAAGAATCAATCTGGATATATGCAAATCCAGGAAAGTAAAATTAAACTTGATCACTACTATTGCATAAGTAAAAAATAAGTATTATCAGTATTTTTAGTGAGAAGTAGCAATTTCAGCTAAGGATACTTGACAATACAGCTCAACAATCTTGTCTATATATTCACTCTTTTATGTATTATTGATATCATCAAGTAGATCGATAACTTTTAACAATTTTTTCGTCTGTTTATAAAGATTTTGCCATTGTACATGAAATTTATTTCATAAAACAGAAGACTTAATAAGACAGGGAAGAATTCTTATAAGATTATTTATATAGGATTTGATTACTGCATGAGCATTTGCAATTTCTTCTTCTGCTGTAACTCAATCATAATATAGAGTATAAAGAACTGTATGAATACAGGTTATTTCTTGTTTACTCCAGTCTAACTGATATTTTATAAAATCAAGATCTTTATGAAGTTTCCTTTCTTTTTGCTTTAAAATAACTCGAAATGCTTTAAAATTCCATTGATAATTTACAGTAAGATAGGAATATCCCTTAGATTATCTAGCAGGCAAAGTTGCCTGCGAAATTAAATTATTTCTTTATAAAATATTAAATATTAATTTTAGTAATATTATTACTATATAAAAAATATAATTTAATATATATTTTA